GATCTAAGCTTGGATATTGATGCTTTTCGTGCGCCGATTGGGATTTGGGGATGGGTTTTACCTCGCCTAATAAGTTCTCTTAATACCTTTTACCTCTGCTACTCGCTTCCTCTTCCCATAACGGCCAGGCAAACTGCGCCGAACCATGAAGCAAATTTGATGGCACCTTTCCGTTTTTTACGCCTCTGGTGGTGAGGAGTTCGTCCTGTCCAGCGAATCCATCCCAGTCTCCTCCAAAGCGAGAAGTCCGACCGCGAGAGATTAAGATGTCTGTGTATCCGCACAAAGATTAGAGTTCCGTCTGATGTGTCACCAAGAACCTGTAAGACTGCGATTTCGGGAGCAGGCTTGGTGGTGGGTAACTACAAGTGATACGTCGGCTTGCCCGGGCTCGGTCGTTTGAATACAGCCGGCCGAACCCAAGAAATACATTCTTTGGCGCTAAATATTGGTGAGAAACGCAGGGTAACTCGGAAAAGCGCGAAAACTTGAGCAAGTTAGCTCCCCTCTACCCCTCCTTTTAAGGTGCCGGCTCATGATTCCAAAGGAGTTGGACTGTTTGCTCTCATACTTTTGATGCTCAGCATTCTGGAAAGTATTTCACGGACGGGACGTGGAATCACGCGAAGTATCATAAAAACAAATGGTGTTCTTGTACCACGAGAGTTGCGCGCCAGTTATTCATTTGGCTATTGGGTTACTTAAGTGGCTTGTGTCGGTCGAGACGGATGGACGGACATGTAGGATCCGGCGTCGGCCCCACTTTCGATCCCCCGATGAACGGGTTGTCCCGGACCGGCTGTGCCACAACATGAGCTCGATGAGTCCGCGATGGATCGTCCACTGGTGCATGGGGGCTTTCTCTACACCGCGAAAGGCGCGCGAATGGCATTAGAGCTTCAACTGACCTGGCCAGAAAACATTGAATGCGACGGGGCTAGGTGCAAGCGAAAACATTGGCAGTGGTTCTTCCAGACCTGGGATACAGTAGGTGACCGCACGGCCCTTCGTGGCCACAAACCACCTTCTTCGACTATCATGTCCATTGAGCTACCGAGGAAGATGTGATGCTGCCCGACAAATCACTTCCGTCGTCCTGCGTCTGCCCGATCGATAGATTCATGGATGTCCTGACTCTATTCTCGGAATAACCATCTTCAAAAGCTCCTTGTTTCACGCGTGCCTCTGTTCTTCTTACCTTGTGGTCTGTGTCAATGCCAGAGAAAGGCGTACTCCTACCCGGGGACCTGACGACCCTCGTCGTCCCGTATCCGCCCGCTCGGTATGTCCTGGCTTTTAAGGAGACCCATCTTCAGAGGCCAGTCACCTCTTCAAACAACCGAAACGGACAGGCATCAAGCACCAGCATGCCAACCATCACCGCAGTAATTAAGGGAAGGCGTGCTTCTGCCCCACGATTCCAAAATGATTACCCTGCTTAACGAGTCGATGGCCCGATTTTTCGGCACGTCCATCTCCAGAGGCTCTTCCCCCCGGACACAACAGTTGCTTCACATTTTGCCCTGACTGCTTCGTGGCTTGGGCACCTGCCTGTTAACTTTCACGTTGCTGACTGAGAAAGTTGTGCTCTTTCTCCACGATTGCAGGATAATTCCCTTGCCGAACGAGTTCACGCCCTGGTTCCTCAGGACTTCCACTTTCGGAGCCTTGTCCATGATGCTTACCTCTTTGTTATTCTTCTGGCCCCAGGTACCCTTCCGAAACAGATCACATACTCACTGCAGGCATTGATGCACCTCACCCCTCGAACGGACAACCGAAAAGCTTCTTCACCAGCACCAGAACCATCCACGTCTGGGCGGTTCTGACATGCTTTCTTGGTCTGAGCATGCTAGCAACTGCACCGCCTGTAGTGGTGCATCCGTCTGGAGCCCTTGCAAGTCTCTCATGCTTTTTCGCAATTAGCATTCACGACCATTGCCGACTGAAGCTCTTGCCTCAACGCAATACCCGCTGCCGGCTATCAACGCATACCAATCCTCTCGCTACAGGGAAATCAAAGGCTCTCGACTCTGTTGCGCAAGCTAAACCGTCGGCATCGTTTTGTCCCCTTCTGATACTGCGGGCGACGGTGGTCGTCTTGTTCAGCCAGATCTGCTGCGTCATCGCCTTCCCGACGGGGCTAGCAATAATCGTGTCGCACTGGAATTGCGTTGGTGAAGTGCTGGTGGCTGTTATTCATAGAGACGTGGGGAACATTGGAAAAACGCAGTTGTTTCCGTCGTCCTCATTGCCACAGTGGTATCGCAGTTGTAGTCATCTTCTTCGGCAAAGTTGTTGCTGCCTTGCTGCCTGTCGCGGCCCCAGCGTGGGTTGAACATGGTGTGATCATCGGAAACCGCTCATCCGAATGCTGAGAAAGGATTTTCTCTACCACAAGAACATCTTGATCCAACTGACTTCCTCCGGCTCTCACATTCTTGGCCAGGCAGGGCGGCGCGCCACTTTTTCACAGGTCCCCTTGGAACTGATCGGCCAATGACTTTAGTTCAGCTGAGCGTAAAAGGCATACTTGTATTGTTCTGCCGGACGCATGACCACGGAAGCAATCCGAAAGTCCATGTTTAGTATCAGAGAGCTGAATAACGGCAAAAAAGCGAAAAGAAGAGTAATTAGTCTCCAGAGCCCATCCTTCTGAGCACAGTGCCCCGCGAGCCGACTACGCCCACGACCCCGTCATACGGACAACGGGGAACAAGTCTCTGCAAACTTGAGGTTGGAGGCGGGGATGCGTCAACATCAGAATGATGCGCAGATTTCCAGAGCTTGAAATCATGTCCATCATTGCTGTCTGTGACTCACCTGTGAAATTCTGTTTGGTTTAATTCCTCTTGTCCATCTAATCCGCCGATGCTCTTCGTGCTTGGCTCGCCTAGAAGAGCAGCAGAACGCCATCCGTCATTCCATTACACCTCCTACATCCATCGTTTGGTATCTTACGAACCAAGCGCACCATGTAAACTCTTGTGACTTCCGTGATGGATCATGCATCTAACCTCTAGCACGGCCCATCCTGTCAGTCTTCCTCCTGCTTGCACGCGAGCATGCACGAGTCCACGGCGGCAAAATGCAAGCACAGCTGATGTTCATCACCTGCTGGTAAGTAAGCCGCACCTCAATTGAACTTTCCGAAAATAAGTCCTTAACTGATGCGGAAGAATCATGGTGGTCATGTGTTGTTTTTCCAGCAGACGGTGGATCGGGAAAAGGTGCAATGTGCAGAAATCATGACGGCGACGGATGTGGGGCCGGAAATTCTGAGAGGTGCTGGGACAGCTGCGCCATTCGCGTTGAGCCGACCCACAGCTAAGGTATATTTGATTGGCTGGATATTTCCCGAACTGTTCGGGAAATCAGATAAGGTGGAGACCCATCTTATCGTCTATCGATAAGTCATGGTACGCGCAGGCTATCAGTCGCGCATGCGACGCGACGCCGTCTCAATTGCATCTGTTCGTCAGTGAGATCGAGAGCTTTGCGCCAGGCGCAGAAATCAAGCGCGCTCAACAGGGAAGCTGCTGGCCGATGCTAGGCCTTGCAGAAGATATTTCAATTGATGCATGATGCCCCGAGCGGATGGAGAGCGCCGGACAGACTCCTGTCCAGAACAACACAAGCAAGCGGGTCGGCAGATGCAACCCACCGCCCGCCGATCGCCTGCACGGTTCATCCGGGCGTCACTTGCAGCGCAGTCCGCCTCTGACTCTGAGTGTTGAGAGTCAATTAGCCTCCCCTTCGGCTACAAGCAGCTGGGCTGGGCTCTCCCTCAACCCAAAGGCCAACGTCTTCTTCTTCTTTTTTTGTTTTTTTTTCGTCCTTTGGGCCCGCCAATCGGAGTTTTCTCCCAGGTACTTTTCTTATGTACCTAGGTTGGCTTGAGCCAAGCATCAAGCAGACGGAGGAACGACTGAACAAAGCTGGCAAGAGCTCCCCACTATCGGACCTGCCTCCGTGCCCCTCCCCCACCACACCTGCCCTCCGCGTCCAGATGTTCAATTGCTGCACCAGCCCGCCTGACGATTCTTCAAATGCTTCCAACTTTCCCACCACCACCTCCTTGCTGCTGCTCGGCACCTCAAACAACAACATCGGCGTGCTTTCGAATGCGTTGATCGCCAGCCTCATCGCCAGCCCCTGATGGCGTCTTGCCCATTGATGCCACCCCAATGCTGTTGCCAGCAGCACAAGCCCCCGATCCCCGTCCTCCCGCCCCAACGCACGATCTCAACCAAGCCATCTGGGAGTTGGCACAACTGGCTACCAACGCCGCGAACTCACTCGGGAACCTCCATCATACATTTCAAACCGCCTCAAGCGTCCACGGGAGAGAAAAGGTGCTGAGCCTCCTTCCTGCTGACATCACCAACCTGGTGACCACTGCTGGAGACATCACGCCTCATCTCCCCCCGGGCAATTCTTTGACGCAGCGTGGGCTCACTGAAGTCAAGCACGCTGCCGACCGCTGGCAAATTCACCCAGGGCAAGTTGTCGGTTTTTTTCAGAACATCTCGCAGACATTCTGTGTTCGTCTACACCAGCTCTCCAAAGCCACAGGGTGGGACGAAGCAGTTGCCTATTTGACGCGAGCAAAAGAACACCGAATCCAGAGTTGCAGCGTTGGTGTTTCCCACAGCACCAATTGGCTGCCAAAAGACGTCGCGGTCGCGCTCAAACTCGCCACCGAGTCGGACGGAGGCGCCAACGAGAAGCCAGCAGAGACAGCAGCCGAGACTTCGACCACCGCAACTGCGGGCAGTCGAAACGAGGCAAGTCGAGCATTTCCCCTTTGACCTTGTCTACTTTTTGCTTCTCGAGCATGCAACTGACAGTTTCTTCGACAGTCAACTCGTCCAACTCCAGCGACGAAGCCAACCTTGACCCGATCCGCGACTGCACCTGCCATCAAGCCAAAAACTCATCTTTCGAACAGCGGTTTCTTCGAAAGGCACAAAGACTACGAAGACTACGAAGACGCAGCGATGGCGGACGAACATGACGACTCAGGCTATCAATCGAACCCCTCGAGAGCTGGCACACCTCAGCCTCTGTCTAAGAAGGACACAGGCACGGGTCCTCCATCGGCCAATACAAGGAAACGGACTACCACAGCACCAGTCTCTGTCTCCAAGCGGCTGAAGTCTGGACAATCCGACAGACAAGACACTCTGAAAGGCCCGAAGGCATCTTTCCAGCCGTCCAACACTGCAGTGCCGTCTCGTGATACGCCCTCAAGTATGACTCGGCCATCTGTTGCCCATCCCCTGTCAGCTGCTGCAACCCCAGACGCGGATACTGGTACGCCTTCTGCTTCTGCTTCTGATCCCAGCAAGCGAGCCTTGTTTGGCGCCCTCATGAAGAAGCAATGGGGCGAGGGTGGGGTGATTCGCGACGCTCTGAGAACCATTGTCTCGCTACAGCACAATACGTTCGCGGCCGAACCTTTCCTTCTGGGCACCGAGAAAAAGGATTTGGAATGGGGCGTTGCTGAAATTGATGCAAAGGAGGAAGGGTTGGTCTTGCTCTGCCCAGTCCGATGCGAAGACTACCATTGGGTCCTCATTGAGGCACGTCCCGGCGCCCGAACCGCCCGTATTTACGACTCCCGGCCAGATTGCCCGACCGTCCAATCTGCAGTTGATGAGATCCTTTCCCGACTCGACGTCTTGGTGTCCACGCAGACATCCGGATCCCCATGGCCAACCACCCAAGAAGCTTGCGCTGAACAAATGCACAAAGACGACGATGGGATCGCCGTCATCGCGAACGCTTTTTGTGCTTTGTCGGGATCAGCTCCGGAGGGAACCTTGGATTCGCGGGCCTGGCGGCACAGTGTGGCCGCGTTCCTGGAAGCTGTGGGACGCAACGATGTGGCCGGCCAGTTTGATGAGCGAATGAAGGAAGTCACATTTGAAAGCATAATGGACCGGTCGAAGTCGTCGTCCGAAAGCCTGCCAGCACTTCCTGATCTCAAGGGCGCAGATCTTGATCCCAAGGATGCTGTGAAGCACATCGAACAGCTTCGGGAATATTCCGAAGCAGTGAAGAAGCAAGGGCTCAGTGCAACCAACGCCGCGCAGCGTCTTCTGAACCAGCACCTGCAAAACGTGAGGTCTCAGCAAACCATCATGGGGAAGCTGGTGGATCTCGGCAAGGCTACTCTCAAAGACCTTCAGGCCGGCGAAGCTTCAATCAAAACGAAGATTGAGGAGACCTGGCAAGCTTTGGGAGAGGTGCGAGACAACGCGAATGCTGAGTGGGCAGAGGGGAGGGGACAATCATTGGACTGCTTGATCTCAGACCGCCGAGAGAAGTCGAAGGCTGCTTTTGGAATAATGAAGGTGTTTGACAGACTGGCAGGCGTACTGACAAGCCTCCAATCTCGCGCAGATATCTACGACAAAGTTGCCAAGGAGGTCAAGGTGTACCAAAAGAAACTGGAAGCAGCTTGATTAGCAGGGACATGGCTCTAGAGTGGATTGTTGTCAGGTCATTAAGGCCGATCGCCCGATAGTTGTAGCACAACAGCCATCAGAATATCCCTCTAAAACTCATCCAGTGCGAAAGGTGTGATGCAGTTGAACCCCGTTAGGGACCTCGACACGGCGGGCAGTCTGGTGTGCTGCTGGACAGACGGGCGGACGCGGGTTGGATTCGACTGCGGTCCGCAACGATACCTGTTATTGAAGGCGAGTGGGATGTAGGAAAGCACACAATTTCTGCATTTCTATGCAAGGCCTGGCGAAAGTCACCCACAGCTCGGCTGAGACGTCGTCTGCGGTCCCGCCCTGCAGTTAACTTAGTCTTTTTACCCGACCCCAATATGTGCAGGGGCCCTTCCCCTTCGAACATGCCAGCACGACACGCAGTACCTTCAACATAAAAATGATGACGGCGACAAACCACCACAAAGGAGTCCTTCTTGTCTCTTAGCACTACTGACATCGCAGCTACGCGGGTTTATTTGCTGTCCTTCATGGACGATTTGAAGGGTCACCAGGCCGATCGGGAATGGCCAGGCTCAACAAGCTGACGAGCCGATGCAGGCTGGGTAACTTGGGCCCAGCGTCCGTTGTGGCCTCTTGGCTTTTCTTTGCTCCTTGATTATCTTGTCCAACCTCACCTGGTGATTGCGATAGACAGCCCCCAGCCCCAGCCGCCACCCCCCGTCCCCTTCTCATCCTTCGCCTTCGGCTAATTTCTTGTTCCCCAAACTGGCCCATTACTTTCTACCTAAATGCCTTCCCACTGAAGAACCTGAACCGACACGTACGAAGCAGTAGCGCGCGTGCCAGCCGAACCCATCGATCTGAGTTCCCAAATCTACCGGATCCCTTCTTGAGAGTGGAGCATATGCCAGATTTCCGTACAAATACACGGATGCCAGGACACTTGGTCCATGCAGCCCGACAGAGGCCTCTTGGGTGTCAAATCTGGTCGTGCTGCGCGAGCTGCCACCAATGCAACATCGTGATCTGGTCCGCCTTGAAGAGCATATTCATTGTCGCCTCTGGGAGTGACTTAAACGTGGAGACGAAATCCGGTGTCCCATCCATCCTGTGATTCCACATCTAGCAAAGACTTCACAGTGTAATGTGAGCGGTAGCTTGTCCCACACCTCTGATGGATGCTTCCTCTGTGGGAGCAACGATCTATTGGGATTCATGGTGTCCATGCAGACGCGGCGGTGGCTGAAATGTGGCCAATGTCGGCAGGGAGGCGTGGCTCCAGGCATCCGGCACGAAAGCGGGCTTTTGTACAAGTACCTAGCGCTGGGTTGGCTAAAATCATTTCTGTTGGCTGCTACTTCTAGTCGATGGTCCAAGAACATTTCCATTCCAGCGAGGACATGTCTAAGCCCTGCGTTCAAATGTCCATCATCCTTGGCGTCTCAGCTTAAATGGCGGGGATGGCGGTTCAGTGGCCAGATGGATTACACACGTTGAGGTCTGTTTTCTGATGAATGCATGTGTAGTAGTCTGACACTGAGAAGGGGAGAAGAGACATGGCAAACCTTCGCTTGTGAATTTGATCTCAGTGTAGATGATCTTTCTTGGCGGCCAAAGCCGTAGGTCATACACGGCCGGATATTTTATCCAATTCAACCTCGGGTTCTTCTCGCTACACCATTATAGGTATTTGTTCGTTTTCTTATTCATACTCATGCAAAAGTAAGGACCGCAAGTGATGAATACTGCACATTGACTTCGAGCTCTTCGGATGGCCACACCATCACAGGTATTCGTTTGTTTCGTCATTCATACTCAAGCAGAAATGAGGACCGCAAGTCAATACTGCATATTAACTTTGAGCTCTTTGAATGGCCACACCAAAGACCCCGAAGTGGAAGAACGACGCGTTATCAGTTGCCAAGAAACAGCACACAAGATCAAGGCGGCATTTGTGGAGACAAGAGAGCAAATACGATCAACGAAGCGTAATATATACTACTGGTATGGGGTATGGCGCCTACCTAGATAGAAACCACGCGTACGTATTTAAGGCCCACGCGCGTATGCAGATTAGTTTCGTTGTTCTTAGGAATCAACTTCCTGCAGCAGCCCTTTTGCTGCGCCCTGCACTTTGTTCCTACATACAACCACCCCCATTTTCACTACATCCGGTCATTGTTACGGCAGTTTTGTCCAGTATGGCGGCATGGATCAGGGATGACACTCATCAATGCCTTGTGTATAATGCCTAATACTAAGTTGACAAGAAGGATGGACAGAGGGTAGAATGCAAACGTGCGAAAAGAACTTCGAGACATTACCCCAAAGACTTTCCGCGGGGCATTGCTATCCACTAGAATCGAGATAGCTGCTGACGTGATTATTTGTTAATATCAGCCCCAAATAACGGAAAAGAGATGATAAGAGAGAATTTCAACACTTAACTGGCCTCACATTACTTACCTTTCTTCCCTTCTGACTTTTCTTCTTCGTAGTTTGCCGCCTGGAGGCCCACCTTGTTGAGTGCCGTATGACTCTCACGGCTACCTTTCTTGAGGCTGTGGTCATCGTCGCCAAGTGGTACCGGAAATATAGGCCTGCCATCAGTGAGCGAGCCTACGGATGAGGTCCCTTCATCGCCCAGCCGTCCGAGCCGCGGACGTGAGACGGGAACACGCGCCACGTGATGCCTCGCAACGCGTCCAGCGTAGCCTGGGAGCATCCCGGACAACCAGCGACCACACAACACACTGGATGTGTCGCGCTGGCGAGACGCATCGCGTGTAGGCCAAGGACGCTCTCTCGACAGCCCCTGGGCTGTCAAGCCACAAAGCAGGATACCCTAGGAGGGCCAGTTGGATGGACTCGGCGGCTGCGGTGTTGCAGTACGGGGCTCGTCTGGTTGATTATCTTGTACGCGCAGAGCCGTTGTGCTCAGGTCAACTGGGCGCCCTTTCGCGAGGTGCTGTACATCGTAAGCGAGCTGGAGCACGCTCGCATTCATCATCACTTCAGTAAGCTATGACTACGGACGATCGGTCGTGGGTGTTCGTTTCCTGGTAAAGCCGGCCCGCGGAGCACCAAACATAGAGTCTGATGTGCCACCAATACCACCGGCAAAGTCTTTTGTCGACCAAAGCAAGAGACAGGAGGACGCCAGGCGACAGGTACGAGAATATGTGGGCGCCAGACCATAAGGAGCGGCTGGCTCGTTGCCTCCATTGGGCGTGGCGGGCTCGTTCCAGAGGTTGCATCGGTCGACCCAGGTCCCAAGTGTGCCACTAATGGATTGTCTGGCCGCTTCCCGAGCTCAGCCCATTGCATCGCTGTTTGGCCCACTTCATAAGCTGTGATGGGGCTGTATTGCCTGCCAAAGGTTCAGGCATCGGGGGGTTATACCACTGCACGTCAGCCGGGGTCGCGGCGGGACATCCCCAACCCCGGAAGCTCTGCTATGCTGCCGGCAAAGATCTCGGCACGCAGCACGCGGCCTTCGCTACAGACGACTTCCATGGGAACCCATTTGCTATTCCTATAGTTCCAAGGCGTCTAATACCCTGGCAGCAGATAGTCAACATTGAGGAAGTACGCCAGGCAACTCTCACAAAGGCTACAACCCTTGGGATTGATGGGATTACTACAAAGTTACTACAATCCATTTGGGGCCTGATAGGTGTTCCTATACAGCAGCTCTTTCAGGCCTGCGTTCAGATAGGCTACTTCCCTAGGACCTTCCGCAAAACAGAGGTAGTTATGATCCAGAAGCCGGGAAAAGCAGACCTCTCAAAGGCTGGATCCTGGCGCCCAATAGCCCTCTTATCCTGCCTAGGCAAGGGCTTAGAGCGGCTGATAGCAAAGAGGATGGCATATCTCACCATTCTG